AAATAAAATAGTATTTTAAAGTAAATCTCCCTTTTAACAGTTATTATTCTGTTAACTCATACCCAAATAATGTTGTTGACTGGTCCTATACTACTATTTGTGATCAAAGCATGAATTGGAGAAAAAAACACTTCAAACGTACATCTCAAACAGACCATTAAAAAATGTTTGCTCTTTCCTCATAGAGTATGATGTCATGCGGTCTACTCACATTCATATTTTGTATGATCGGTATACGCCCACACCATTCTGTTGTTAGGGGTATGTCCACACCATTCTGTTGTTAGGGGTATGTCCACACCATTCTGTTGTTAGGGGTATGTCCACACCATTCTGTTGTTAGGGGTATGTCCACACCATTCTGTTGTTAGGGGTACGCCCACACCATTCTGTTGTTAGGGGTATGTCCACACCATTCTGTTGTTAGGGGTATGTCCACACCATGTCCACACCATTCTGTTGTTAGGGGTATGCCCACACCATTCTGTTGTTAGGGGTATGTCCACACCATTCTGTTGTTAGGGGTATGTCCACACCATTCTGTTGTTAGGGGTATGTCCACACCATTCTGTTGTTAGGGGTATGTCCACACCATTCTGTTGTTAGGGGTATGTCCACACCATTCTGTTGTTAGGGGTATGTCCACGCCATTCTGTTGTTAGGGGTATGTCCACACCATGTCCATACCATTCTGTTGTTAGGGGTATGTCCACACCATGTCCATACCATTCTGTTGTTAGGGGTATGTCCACACCATTCTGTTGTTAGGGGTATGTCCACACCATTCTGTTGTTAGGGGTATGTCCACACCATTCTGTTGTTAGGGGTATGTCCACACCATTCTGTTGTTAGGGGTATGTCCACACCATTCTGTTGTTAGGTGTATGTCCACACCATTCTGTTGTTAGGGGTATGTCCACACCATTCTGTTGTTAGGGGTATGTCCACGCCATTCGGTTGTTAGGGGTATGTCCACACCATTCTGTTGTTAGGGGTATGTCCACACCATTCTGTTGTTAGGGGTATGGCCACACCATTCTGTTGTTAGGGGTATGTCCACACCATTCTGTTGTTAGGGGTATGTTCACACCATTCTGTTGTTAGGGGTATGTCCACACCATTCTGTTGTTAGGGGTATGTTCCCACCATTCTGTTGTTAGGGGTATGTCCACACCATTCTGTTGTTAGGGGTATGTCCACACCATTCTGTTGTTAGGGGTATGTCCACACCATTCTGTTGTTAGGGGTATGTCCACACCATTCTGTTGTTAGGGGTATGTCCACACCATTCTGTTGTTAGGGGTATGTCCACATCATTCTGTTGTTAGGGGTATGTCCACACCATTCTGTTGTTAGGGGTATGTCCACACCATTCTGTTGTTAGGGGTATGTCCACACCATTCTGTTGTTAGGGGTACGCCCACACCATTCTGTTGTTAGGGGTATGTCCACACCATTCTGTTGTTAGGGGTATGTCCACACCATTCTGTTGTTAGGGGTATGTCCACACCATTCTGTTGTTAGGGGTATGTCCACACCATGTCCACACCATTCTGTTGTTAGGGGTATGGCCACACCATTCTGTTGTTAGGGGTATGTCCACACCATTCTGTTGTTAGGGGTATGTCCACACCATTCTGTTGTTAGGGGTATGCCCACACCATTCTGTTGTTAGGGGTATGTCCACACCATTCTGTTGTTAGGGGTATGCCCACACCATTCTGTTGTTAGGGGTATGTCCACGCCATTCTGTTGTTAGGGGTATGTCCACACCATGTCCACACCATTCTGTTGTTAGGGGTATGCCCACACCATTCTGTTGTTAGGGGTATGTCCACACCATTCTGTTGTTAGGGGTATGTCCACACCATTCTGTTGTTAGGGGTATGTCCACACCATTCTGTTGTTAGGGGTATGTCCACACCATTCTGTTGTTAGGGGTATGTCCACACCATTCTGTTGTTAGGGGTATGTCCACGCCATTCTGTTGTTAGGGGTATGTCCACACCATGTCCATACCATTCTGTTGTTAGGGGTATGTCCACACCATGTCCATACCATTCTGTTGTTAGGGGTATGTCCACACCATTCTGTTGTTAGGGGTATGTCCACACCATTCTGTTGTTAGGGGTATGTCCACACCATTCTGTTGTTAGGGGTATGTCCACACCATTCTGTTGTTAGGGGTATGTCCACACCATTCTGTTGTTAGGTGTATGTCCACACCATTCTGTTGTTAGGGGTATGTCCACACCATTCTGTTGTTAGGGGTATGTCCACGCCATTCTGTTGTTAGGGGTATGTCCACACCATTCTGTTGTTAGGGGTATGTCCACACCATTCTGTTGTTAGGGGTATGGCCACACCATTCTGTTGTTAGGGGTATGTCCACACCATTCTGTTGTTAGGGGTATGTTCACACCATTCTGTTGTTAGGGGTATGTCCACACCATTCTGTTGTTAGGGGTATGTTCCCACCATTCTGTTGTTAGGGGTATGTCCACACCATTCTGTTGTTAGGGGTATGTCCACACCATTCTGTTGTTAGGGGTATGTCCACACCATTCTGTTGTTAGGGGTATGTCCACACCATTCTGTTGTTAGGGGTATGTCCACACCATTCTGTTGTTAGGGGTATGTCCACACCATTCTGTTGTTAGGGGTATGTCCACACCATTCTGTTGTTAGGGGTATGGCCACACCATTCTGTTGTTAGGGGTATGTCCACACCATTCTGTTGTTAGGGGTATGTTCACACCATTCTGTTGTTAGGGGTATGTCCACACCATTCTGTTGTTAGGGGTATGTTCCCACCATTCTGTTGTTAGGGGTATGTCCACACCATTCTGTTGTTAGGGGTATGTCCACACCATTCTGTTGTTAGGGGTATGTCCACACCATTCTGTTGTTAGGGGTATGTCCACACCATTCTGTTGTTAGGGGTATGTCCACACCATTCTGTTGTTAGGGGTATGTCCACATCATTCTGTTGTTAGGGGTATGTCCACACATTCTGTTGTTAGGGGTATGTCCACACCATTCTGTTGTTAGGGGTATGTCCACACCATTCTGTTGTTAGGGGTACGCCCACACCATTCTGTTGTTAGGGGTATGTCCACACCATTCTGTTGTTAGGGGTATGTCCACACCATTCTGTTGTTAGGGGTATGTCCACACCATTCTGTTGTTAGGGGTATGTCCACACCATGTCCACACCATTCTGTTGTTAGGGGTATGTCCACACCATTCTGTTGTTAGGGGTATGTCCACACCATTCTGTTGTTAGGGGTATGTCCACATCATTCTGTTGTTAGGGGTATGTCCACACCATTCTGTTGTTAGGGGTATGTCCACACCATTCTGTTGTTAGGGGTATGTCCACACCATTCTGTTGTTAGGGGTACGCCCACACCATTCTGTTGTTAGGGGTATGTCCACACCATTCTGTTGTTAGGGGTATGTCCACACCATTCTGTTGTTAGGGGTATGTCCACACCATTCTGTTGTTAGGGGTATGTCCACACCATTCTGTTGTTAGGGGTACGCCCACACCATTCTGTTGTTAGGGGTATGTCCACACCATTCTGTTGTTAGGGGTATGTCCACACCATTCTGTTGTTAGGGGTATGTCCACACCATTCTGTTGTTAGGGGTATGTCATCACCATGTCCACACCATTCTGTTGTTAGGGGTATGGCCACACCATTCTGTTGTTAGGGGTATGTCCACACCATTCTGTTGTTAGGGGTATGTCCACACCATTCTGTTGTTAGGGGTATGTCCACACCATTCTGTTGTTAGGGGTATGTCCACACCATTCTGTTGTTAGGGGTATGTCCACACCATTCTGTTGTTAGGGGTATGTCCACACCATTCTGTTGTTAGGGGTATGTCCACACCATGTCCACACCATTCTGTTGTTAGGGGTATGGCCACACCATTCTGTTGTTAGGGGTATGTCCACACCATTCTGTTGTTAGGGGTATGTCCACACCATTCTGTTGTTAGGGGTATGTCCACACCATTCTGTTGTTAGGGGTATGTCCACACCATTCTGTTGTTAGGGGTATGTCCACACCATTCTGTTGTTAGGGGTATGTCCACACCATTCTGTTGTTAGGGGTATGTCCACACCATTCTGTTGTTAGGGGTATGTCCACACCATTCTGTTGTTAGGGGTATGTCCACACCATTCTGTTGTTAGGGGTATGTCCACACCATTCTGTTGTTAGGGGTATGTCCACACCATTCTGTTGTTAGGGGTATGTCCACACCATTATGTTGTTAGGGGTATGTCCACACCATTCTGTTGTTAGGGGTATGCCCACACCATTCTGTTGTTAGGGGTATGTCCACACCATTCTGTTGTTAGGGGTATGTCCACACCATTCTGTTGTTAGGGGTATGTCCACACCATTCTGTTGTTAGGGGTATGTCCACACCATGTCCACACCATTTTGTTGTTAGGGGTATGTCCACACCATTCTGTTGTTAGGGGTATGTCCACACCATTCTGTTGTTAGGGGTATGTCCACACCATTCTGTTGTTAGGGGTATGTCCACACCATTCTGTTGTTAGGGGTATGTCCACACCATTCTGTTGTTAGGGGTATGTCCACACCATTCTGTTGTTAGGGGTATGGCCACACCATTCCAACACAGAAAAGTTGCTTTTTAACTTAAAGTGAAAATTGTGCACAATTTTGTACTACGTCATCCATTTCGTATGATATGTTACAAATTCTAATACGTACAATATGTTTACGAATTTGTAAGTGCTTAAGATCCCGGACTGCATCTTTAATTACCAATTTTTGGAAGGAAAACTATTTCACTCAAAGTAATTATAGGTCATATTTCATAGAAATCTGGAAACACTGGACAGTTGCTTTAAGTCCAGTTGGTTCTAAAATGTTGTTTTCTCCCATTTCCTGCCTGAACACGACCCTGACCTCTGTTGACCTCCAACCCCTGATCTCTGACCACTAACCCCCTCAGGCACTCACACCAGCCCCCTGGCCAACGAGGGAGGGGCGAACAAGAGACTCACCCTGAGGGATGAGAGAGCAGAGAGGAGGAGGAAGAGGAAGGGCAGCGGGTGTACAGGAGGAAGAGGAGAGAGGAAGAGGAGGGGGAGGAGTCAGGAGGAAGAGGAGGAGGAGGAGGAGGAGGGGAACAAGAGGAAGGGCAGCGGGTGTACAGGAGGAAGAGGAGAGAGGAAGAGGAGGGGGAGGAGTCAGGAGGAAGAGGAGGAGGAGGAGGAGGGGAACAAGAGGAAGGGCAGCGGGTGTACAGGAGGAAGAGGAAAGAGGAGGGGGAGGAGGAGGAGGAGGAGGAGTCAGGAGGAAGAGGAGGAGGAGGAGGAGGGGAATCTGTCCTTAGAGGATATCTTTTCCTCCTCCTCATCCAGTACCATGCTGGCCAACACATTACAGCCCCCACAATGCAACTGTGGAGAACCAACTCCTGATCCGGTTGCAGAGAGGTTTGTGCAGCTGGGATGTCTGGGCGGCGGAGGCTATGGGACGGTCTACGCTGGATACCGCAGAGAAGACAACCTACCTGTGAGAACCATGGAATAAACACACACATATAAGGTCCATTGGAGATGCAGTACTATTTGTCAATGTGTGTGTGTGTGTGTGTGTGTGTGTGTGTGTGTGTGTTTGTGTTTTCTCTGTAGGTGGCTATAAAACGTGTCCCCTTGGCCAAAGTGTTACGCATACCTGTGGTGAGTTCATCATTCTCTTATCATGGTCTGTTGTGATGCAGTCTGTAGCAGTCTTTTGTGATCTGTAGTAGTCTACAGTAGTCTATCGTAGTCTGTAGTCGTCTGTAGTAGTCTGTAGTAGTCTGTAGTAGTCTATAGTACTATTAGTAGTCTGTAGTACTATTACATTTACATTTACATTTACGTCATTTAGCAGACGCTCTTATCCAGAGCGACTTACAAATTGGTGCATTCACCCTATAGCCAGTGGGATAACCACTTTACAATATGTTTTTTTTTTTTTTGGGGGGGGGGGGGGTAGAAGGATTACTTTATCCTATCCCAGGTATTCCTTAAAGAGGTGGGGTTTCAAATGTCTCCGGAAGGTGGTGAGTGACTCCGCTGTCCTGGCGTCGTGAGGGAGCTTGTTCCACCATTGGGGTGCCAGAGCAGCGAACAGTTTTGACTGGGCTGAGCGGGAACTATGCTTCCGCAGAGGAAGGGGAGCCAGCAGGCCAGAGGTGGATGAACGCAATGCCCTCGTTTGGGTGTAGGGACTGATCAGAGCCTGAAGGTACGGAGGTGCCGTTCCCCTCACAGCTCCATAGGCAAGCACCATGGTCTTGTAACAGATGCGAGCTTCAACTGGAAGCCAGTGGAGTGTGCGGAGGAGCGGGGTGACGTGAGAGAACTTGAACACCAGACGGGCTGCGGCATTCTGGATGAGTTGTAGGGGTTTAATGGCACAGGCAGGGAGCCCAGCCAACAGCGAGTTGCAGTAATCCAGACGGGAGATGACAAGTGCCTGGATTAGGACCTGTGCCGCTTCCTGTGTAAGGCAGGGTCGTACTCTCCGAATGTTGTAGAGCATGAACCTGCAGGATCGGGTCACCGCCTTGATGTTAGCGGAGAACGACAGGGTGTTGTCCAGGGTCACGCCAAGGCTCTTCGCACTCTGGGAGGAGGACACAACGGAGTTGTCAACCGTGATGGCGAGATCATGGAACGGGCAGTCCTTCCCTGGGAGGAAGAGCAGCTCCGTCTTGCCAGGGTTCAGCTTGAGGTGGTGATCCGTCATCCATACTGATATGTCTGCCAGACATGCAGAGATATTAGTCATCTGTAGTAGTCTGTAGTAGTCTGTAGTGGTCTGTAGTAGTCTGTAGTGGTCTGTAGTGGTCTGTAGTAGTCTGTAGTGGTCTGTAGTGGTCTGTAGTGGTCTGTGGTGGTCTGTAGTACTATTAGTAGTCTGTAGTAGTCTGTAGTAGTCTATAGAAGTCTGTAGTGGTCTGTAGTGGTCTGTAGTACTATTAGTAGTCTGTAGTAGTCTGTAGTAGTCTATAGTAGTTTGTATTGGTCTGTAGTGGTCTGTAGTACTATTAGTAGTCTGTAGTAGTCTGTAGTAGTCTATAGTAGTCTGTAGTGGTCTGTAGTGGTCTGTAGTGGTCTGTAGTGGTCTGTAGTACTATTAGTAGTCTGTAGTAGTCTATAGTAGTCTATAGTAGTCTGTAGTGGTCTGTAGTAGTCTGTAGTGGTCTGTAGTGGTCTGTAGTAGTCTGTAGTGATCTGTAGTACTATTAGTAGTCTATAGTACTAGTAGTCATCCGTTGTAGTCTGTAGTAGTCTAAAGTAGTCTGTAGTAGTCTGTAGTAGTCTATAGTCATCCGTAGTAGTCTGTAGTGGTATATAGTACTCTGTAGTAGTCTGTAGTAGTCTATAGTGATCTGTAGTAGTCTATAGTAGTCTGTAGTAGTCTGTAGTAGTCTGTAGTAGTGTATAGTCATCCGTAGTAGTCTATAGTAGTATATAGTACTCTGTAGTAGTCTGTAGTAGTCTATAGTCATCCGTAGTAGTCTGTAGTAGTATATAGTACTCTGTAGTAGTCTATAGTAATATGTAGTAGTCTATAGTAGTCTATAGTAATCCGTAGTAGTCTATAGTAATCCGTAGTAGTCTGTAGAAGATTGTAGTAGTACAGTCGAGGTCAAAAGTTTTCAGAATGTCACAAAGTTCGCTGCTTCAGTGTTATGAGATATTTTTGTCAGATGTTACTATGGTATAATGAAGTTAATTACAAGCATTCCATGTGTCAAAGGCTTTTATTGACAATTACATTACGTTTATGCAAAGAGTTTACAGTGTAGTTCTCCTGTAGCTCAGTTGGTAGAGCATGGCGCTTGCAACGCCAGGGTTGTGGGTTCGATTCCCATGGGGGGCCAGTATGAAAATGTATGCACTAACTAACTGTAAGTCGCTCTGGATAAGAGCGTCTGCTATATGACTAAAATGTAAAATATGTTGACCCTTCTTTTTCAAGACCTCTGCAATCCACCTTGGCATGCTGTCAATTAACTTCTGGGCCACATCCTGACTGATGGCAGCCCATTCTTGCATAATCAATGCTTGGAGTTTGTCAGAATTTGTGGGTTTTGGTTTGTCCACCCGCGTCTTGAGGATCGACCACAAGTTCTCAATGGGATTAAGGTCTGGGGAGTTTCCTGGCCATGGACCCAAAATGTCGATGTTTTGTTCCCCGAGCCACTTAGTTATCACTTTTGCCTTATGGCAAGGTGCTCCATCATGCTGGAAAAGGCATTGTTCGTCACCAAACTGTTCTTGGATGGTTGGGAGAAGTTGCTCTCGGAGGATGTGTTGGTACCATTCTTTATTCATGGCTGTGTTCTTAGGCAAAATTGTGAGTGAGCCCACTCCCTTGGCTGAGAAGCAACCCCACACATGAATGGTCTCAGGATGCTTTACTGTTGGCATGACACAGGACTGATGGTAGCGCTCACCTTGTCTTCTCCGGACAAGGTGTTTTCCGGATGCCCCAAACAATCGGAAAGGGGATTCATCAGAGAAAATGACTTTACCCCAGTCCTCAGCAGTCCAATCCCTGTACCTTTTGCAGAATATCAGTCTGTCCCTGATGTTTTTCCTGGAGAGAAGTGGCTTCTTTGCTGCCCTTCTTGACACCAGGACATCCTCCAAAAGTCTTCGCCTCACCGTGCGTGCAGATGCACTCACACCTGCCTGCTGCCATTCCTGAGCAAGCTCTGCATTGGTGGTGCCCCAATCCCGCAGCTGAATCAACTTTAGGAGACGGTCCTGGCGCTTGCTGGACTTTCTTGGGCGCCCTGACACCTTCTTCACAACAATTGAACCTCTCTCCTTGAAGTTCTTGATGATCCGATAAATGGTTGATTTAAGGTGCAATCTTACTAGCAGCAATATCCTTGCCTGTGAAGCCGTTTTTGTGCAAAGCAATGATGACGGCACGTGTTTCCTTGCAGGTAACCATGGTTAACAGAGGAAGAACAATGATTTCAAGCACCACCCTCCTTTTAAAGCTTCCAGTCTGTTATTCTAACTCAATCAGCATGACAGAGTGATCTCCAGCCTTGTCCTCGTCAACACTCTCACCTGTGTTAACGAGAGAATCACTGACATGATGGCAGCTAGTCCTTTTGTGGCAGGGCTGAAATGCAGTGGAAAAGTTTTTTTGGGGATTAAGTTCGTTTTCATGGCAAAGGGGGACAAAGGGGGAATTGCAATTAATTGCAATTCCTCTCTCTTCATGACATTCTGGAGTGTATGCAAATTGCCAGCATCAAAACTGGGGCAGCAGACTTTGTGAAAATTAGTATTTGTGTCATTCTCAAAACTTTTGACCATGACTGTACGTAGTAGTCTATAACAGGTTTTCCCAAACTCGGTCCTTGTGCATGTTTTGGTTTTTGCCCAGTACTACACATCTGATTCAAAGAACCAACTCATCATCAAGCTTTTATTAGGAATTTTTTAGAACATTTTATTTTTTATTTATTTTTCTCCCCAATTTCGTGGTATCCAATTGGTAGTTACAGTCTTGTCCCATCGCTGCAACTCCCGTACGGACACGGGAGAGGCGAAGGTCGTGAGTGCTCTGAAACACAACCCAACCGAGCCGCACTGCTTCTTGACACAACAATGTGTCGGAGGAAACACCTGGCGACCGTGTCAGCGTGCACCGCGCCCGGACCGCCACAGGAGTCGCTAACCTGGACGACACTGGGCCAATTGTGCTCTGTCCCATGGGTCTGTATTAGTCTGTAGTAGTCTGTTGTAGTCTAAAGTAGTCTAATTCAGTCTGTAGTAGTTTGATGTTATCTGATTCAGTTTGTAGTAGTTTATAGTAGTATTTAGTAGTCTGATTAGGTCTGTAGTAGTCTATAGTAGTTTGTAGTAGTCTATATAAGTCTGTTGTAGTCTGTAGTAGTCTATAGCAGTCTGATTAGGTCTGTAGTGGTCTATCGTAGTTTGTAGTAGTCTATAGAAGTCTGTTGTAGTCTGTAGTAGTCTATAGCAGTCTGATTAGGTCTGTAGTAGTCTATAGTAGTCTTTATTAGTCTGATTCTGTCTGTAGTAGTCTATAGAAGTTTGTTGTAGTCTGTAGTAGTCTGATTAAGTCTGTAGTAGTCTATAGTAGTCTATAACAGTCGAGGCTCCTCAGAGGAGGAAGGGGAGCGAATTTCATAAAAATTAAAATTGTAAAACATTGAAAAAGTTATCCTTTTTAGTAGGGGTGTAACGATCCATCTACTACATCGATGTATCGATTTATATTCCTATGATCCAACTGCATCGATCTGTGCTCGGCGAGTTGGCCTTTTGGACAACATATATCGATCTAACATCGTTTTAAAATGTAATAAATCGATTGTATCGATACTAGGAAATAACCCATTGGATTTAAGCACGTCAGACTTTATATGGATGTTTTTTCTTAGCACTTTTAATGATAAAGGCTTTAAACATTACTCGATTCAGTCTGCCTATCCGTGACGTCATCGCGCCAGCAGCAGCGCAAAGGCGCCAAGACAACAAAACAAAGCATGGCGGACAACAGAGGAGAAGCCGACGAGCGAGAAATTATCAAGCCACCATTGCGGTCCTTACAAGAAACAGGAATCTAGGAAACTTCACCTGCACTGTCCAGTATACAGGTATTTATTTCAGTCACACTGGTTGAATTTTTGGCTAAAAGGTTACTGAATCGATTTCAAGTCACTGAATCGTTTCGGATCGTATCGTTCTAAATGAACCAATATCGTCCTTGAATCGTATCGACAACCACGAATCGTGATACAAATCGAATCGTTGTTAAAACGAATCGTTACACCCCTACTTTTTAGATAAAACTATACTAAATATATTCACGTCACCAAATAATTGATTAAAACACACTGTTTTGCAATGAAGGTCTACAGTAGCCTCAACCGCACTCTGTAGGGTAGCACCATTGTGTAGCCGGAGGACAGCTAGCTTCCGTCCTCCTCTTGGTACATTGACTTCAATACAAAACCTAGGAGGCTCTTGGTTCTCACCCCCTTTCATAGACTTACACAGTAATTATGACAACTTCCGGAGGAAATCCTCCAGCCTATCAGAGCTCTTGCAGCATGTTGTCCACCCAATCAAAGGATCAGAGAATGAATCTAGTACTGAAAGCATAAACTACAGCTTGCTAACACTGCAGTGTATAAAATGTGGTGAGTAGTTGACTCAAAGAGAAAGAAAGACAATAGTTGAACAGTTTTCAACAAATTATTTTCTTCAAAAATGAAGGAGAAGCAGTTTTACTTACTTAGCTAGCAAATGCAGCTGGCTAGTTTAGTTACTCAAACACCCGGCTCAAACAGAGGGATGCTATGTTAGCTAGCTGGCTATGACTATTCAACACAACACTGGAACTCTTCCAAGTCAATGTAAGCTTTTGGTTTTATAAATTTATTGTCACCGGGGCCCACCGGTGTAACTGCTTATTGACTATACACTGTAACGTTGCTGCATGATTGTAGCGGGTTTACTGACGTATTAGTTCTATTAGCTATGTTAACTAGGACGTTACTTTTTGCTAATATGGTGTAGCCGTTATGACATGGTTTGGCTTGGAAAGGTTTTTCGCCTGGTCACATACAGCTGATGTGTTGTTCATTGAAGTCCACAAACGAAGGGACGATGTGAGAGGAGGAGAGCGCATAGAGGCGAGAAGGAATACAACGTGGCTGCTATGAAAGTGAACTGTGTTTATGCGTGATCAGGGGTGTATTCATTACGCCGATTCTGTTGAAAAATGTTTCTTAAACGGAAGCAAAACGAAACGGGGATAAAAAATACCTGAATTTTGTCCAATAGAAACTCTCGTTCGCAACTGTTGGACTAATGATTACACCCTATATCAGCTAGATGCAGGAAAGAGTGTGCAAGGCGATATTGAATGTGTCACTGTCTGTCACCTCAAATGTTTCTCTCGACCTGTGTGCACCTACGTTGTAAACTTTCATTCATAGGCTAGGTTGTAGCAACCTCATGATGGGTACAGCGAAAATTCGAGTATCATGTAGTAGCCTAAACCTATTGATGTTCCATTGAACTGGGTGGATGGAATATGAATGACAGTCATCCAATATGCTGTAATAGAAATAAGGCCATGTTCATGAGAAAAAAAAATGTGTCCTCCCTCATCATAAACGGCACCAACCGCCACTGGTCTATAATAAACGGCACCAACCGCCACCGGTCAATAATAAACGGCACCGACCGCCACTGGTCAATAATAAACGGCACCGACCGCCACTGGTCAATAATAATCTGTTATCATCTGTAGTTAACTATAGTAGTCATGTAGTCATCTGATTCAGTTTGTAGTAGTCTAGAGTCGTCTGGTGTAGTCTGATTCAGTCTGTATCAGTCTGATTCAGTCTGTATTAGTATAAGTAGTCTGTAGTAGTCTATAGTAGTCTGCAGTAGTCTATGATAGTCTGTAGGAGTCTATAGCAGTCTGTAGTAATCTGATTTGGTCTGTAGTTCTCTGTAGTAGTCTATAGTAGTCTGCAGTAGTCTATGATAGTCTGTAGTAGTCGGTATCAGTCTGTAGTAATCTGATTCGGTCTGTAGTAGTCTATAGTAGTCTGTAGTAGTCTGTAGTAGTCTATAGTAGTTTGTAGTATTCTATAGTAGTGTATAGTAGTTTGTAGTAGTCTATAGTAGTCTGTAGTAGTCTATAGTAGTTTGTAGTAGTCTATAGTAGTTTGTAGTAGTTTATAGTAGTTTGTAGTAGTCTGTAGTAGTCTGATTCAGTTTGTAGTAGTCTATAGTAGTTTGTAGTAGTCTATAGTAGTCTGTAGTAGTCTGATTCAGTTTGTAGTAGTCTATAGTAGTTTGTAGTAGTTAATAGTAGTCTGTAGTAGTCTATAGTAGTCTGATTCAGTTTGTAGTAGTCTATAGTAGTCTGTAGTAGTCTATAGTAGTGTGTAGTAGTTTATAGTAGTGTGTAGTAGTTTATAGTAGTTTGTAGTAGTCTATAGTAGTTTGTAGTAGTTAATAGTAGTCTGTAGTAGTCTATAGTAGTCTGATTCAGTCTGTAGTAGTCTATAGTAGTCTGTAGTAGTCAATAGTAGTCTGATTCAGTCTGTAGTAGTCTATAGTAGTCTGTAGTAGTCAATAGTAGTCTGATTCAGTTTGTAGTAGTCTATAGTAGTCTGTAGTAGTATAGTAATCTTTCATCTTTATTTGGATCCCAATTTCAGACTCAGGATGGACAGCAGGTGGAGTTTCCCTTGGAGGTGGTATTATTGCGGATCGTGGGCGGTAGGGGTGAGGGTAGGGGTGAGGCTACGGGGGAGGGTTTGGGTGAAGTTGTCCCTCCCCCCCGTGCTGCAGTGGCCCTGCTGGACTGGTTTGAGCTGGATCAGGAGTTGGTCCTGGTTCTGGAGAGACCAGTTCCCTGCATGGACCTCTATGACTACATCCAGATGAGAGGGGGGACGCTGCAGGAGGAACACGCCAGGGTGAGAGAGAGAGAGGGAGAGGGATGTAGGGAGGAGAGCGGGAGGAGCAAGGAGAAGATAGAGAGAGAGGCAGAGAGAGAGATGACGAGAGAGAAAGAGAGAGAGAGAGAGATGAGAGACAGCGACGGGACGACGATGAGAGAGACAGAGAGAGAGAGAGAAGAGAGAGAGAGAGACAGAGAGAGAGAGACAGAGAGAGACAGAGACAGAGAGAGAGAGAGGGAGAGAGAGTGTGTAGTGTTATCCAAAACCCTGAGGACAGTTTACTAGAGTAAATATTGACCTACTACCCCACTGCCTTTTTCTCTCTCTATCTCTCTCTCTCTCTCTCTCTCTCTCTCTCTCTCTCTCTCTTTCGTTTCGTCGTTTCTCTCGTTTTCGTTCTCTCGTTCTCTCTCTCTCTCACTCTCTCTCTCACTCTCTCTCTCGTTGTCTCTCTCTCTCTCTCTCTCTCTCTCTCTCTCTCTCTCTCTCTCTCTCTCTCTCTAGGTCATCCTGAGGCAGCTAGTTGAAGCGATGAGAGAGGTCCATTCCAGAGGTGTTCTCCATCGTGACATCAAACCAGAGAACATTCTAGTAGAGACCGGTTCCACCTCGCCTCGGATCAGGGTTCTAGACTTTGGCTGCGGCTGCATTCTCAGAGATGGGCCCTACACCGAGTGTTACGGTAGGCTGGTGTCCAATCACTGAGTGTAAACCATAACACTGTTAGCCCGCTGAGCTAAAGCCTGGATGTTAGTTTTGGGAAACCAATACATATCTACAGATCTCAGATATACACACACCCTGACCTTCCTGTTCTGTGTTGTGTTGTGTTGTGTGTGTGTGTGTGTGTGTGTGTGTGTGAGTGAGTATGTGTGTGGGTGGTGGTGTGTGTGTGTGTGTGTGGGTTGTGTGTGGTGTGGTTTGTGGTTTGTGTGTGTGTGTGTGTGGGGGTGAGGGAGTATCTGGTGTGGTGTGTGTGTGTGTGTGTTTGTGTGTGTGTGGTGTGTGTATGTGTGTGTGTGTGATGTGTGTGTATGTGTGTGATGTGTGTGTGTGTGTGTGTGGGTGTGTGTGTGTGTGTGGTGTCGTGGTGTGTGTGTGTTGTGTTGTGTGTTGTGTGTGGTGATTGTGTGTGTGTGCGTGTTGTCGTGTTGTGGGTGTGGTGTGTGTGTGTGTGTGTGGGTGTGTGTGTGTGGGTGTTGTGTGTGTGTGGTGGTGTGTGTGTGTGGGTGTGTGTGTGTGTGTGTGTAGCTGTGTGGTGTGTGGTGTCTTGGTGCTTGTGTGTGTGTGCTGTGTTTGGGTGTGTTGTGTTTGTGGTGCGTGTGTCATGGTGTGTTGTGTGGTACTGTGTGTGTGTGGGTGTGTGTGTGGTGTGTGTCGTGTGTGGTGTGTGGGTGTGTGGTGTGTGTGTGTGTGTGTGGTGTGTGTTGGTGTGTGTGTGTGGTGTGTGTGTGTGTGTGTGGTGTGTGGTGTGTGGGGTGTGTGTGTGTAGGCACGTCCCAGTACACCCCCCCAGAGTGGTTTCTGAGAGAGTCGTATCGTGCTGGTCCCTCCACTGTGTGGCAGCTGGGGGTGCTGCTATATGACATGCTGTGTGGGGACCAGCCCTTCAACACACGACGAGAGATCATCTTTGAAGAGCCTTACATCAAGGACGAACTGTCCAGACGTAAGACACACACACACAGACAGAGAGACAGACAGACAGAGACAGACAGACAGACAGACAGACAGACAGACAGACAGACAGACAGAGAGAGAGAGAGAGAGAGAGAGAGAGAGAGAGAGAGAGAGGAGAGAGAGAGAGAGAGAGAGAGAGAGAGAGGGAGAGAGAGAGAGAGATACAGACAGACACACTAACCCTTACTTGTTCTCTTGTCTTGTTCTCCAGACTGTGTGGATCTGTTGAGGAGGTGTCTGGCCAAGCGACCCCGAGGACGGCCCACTCTGGACGGGATGTTACTCCACCCCTGGCTCCAGCCACAGTGAGCCAGTAGTGAGCCACCCCCCCCCTGGCCAGACCTGCAGCCTGTCACCTGAACACAACTCAACTCAACCCAACCAATCTTCACTCTGGACATAAACATAGATTTTTAACCGTCTTTGAAAAGTAACTCCTTCAACGTGAATATATAAACTTTGAACAAATATCACACTTTTATTATTCATGATTTGTAACTCCATCACCTTTGTTTAAGACACATATTATACACGCAGACAGACACAGACACACACACACACACACACACACACACACACACACACACACAACACACACACACACACACAACACACACACACACACACAGACACACACAACACACACACACACAGATACAGTAAACACACACACACACACACACACACACCATGAGACTGTTAAATAGTCACCACTAGCCGGCCTCCGCCCAGTACCCTGCCCTGAACTTTAGTCACTGTTACTAGCTGGCTACCAACCGATACTCAACCCTAAACCTTAGAGGCTGCTGCCCTATGTATATAGTCATGGAACACTGGTCACTTTAATCATGTTTACATATTAAATAGTATTACTTTAATAATGTTTACTGTTTTACCCAATTCATATGTGCCTTTGGAAAGTGTCTTTGGAAAGTATTCAGACCCCTTCACTTTTTCCACATTTTGTTACTTTACAGCCTAATTCTAAAATGGATTAAAAAAAATACAAAAAATCCTCAGCAATCTACACACAATACCCCATAATGACAAAGCGAAAACAGGTTTTTAGAAATGTATCCAAATGTATTATAAATAAGAAAAAATAAATACTTTATTTACATAAGTATTCAGACCCTTTGCTATGAGACTCAAAATTGAGCTCAGGTGCATCCTGTTTCCATTGATCATCCTTGAGATGTTTCTACAACTTGATTGGAGTCCACCTGGGGTAAATTCAATTGATTGGACATGATTTGGAAAGGCACACATCTGTCTATATAAAAGGTCCCACAGTTTACAGTGCATGTCAGAACAAAAACCAAGCCATGAGGTCAAAGGAATTGTCCGTAGGGCTCCGAGACAGGATTGTGTCGAGGCACAGATCTGGGGAAGGGTACCAAAATAATTCTGCAGCATTGAAGGTCCCCAAGAACACAGTGGCCTCCATCATTCTTAAATGGAAGAAGTTTGGAACCACCAAGACTCTTCCTAGAGCTGGCCGCCCAACCAAACTGAGCAATCGGGAGAGAAGGGCCTTGGTCAAGGAGGTGACCAAGAACCTGATGGTCACTCTGACAGAGCTCTAGAGTTCCTCTGTGGAGATGGGAGAACCTTCCAGAAGGACAACCATCTCTGCAGCACTCCACCAATCAGGCCTATATGATAGTGTGGCCAGACGAAAGCCACTCCTCAGTAAAAGGCACATGACAGCCCGCTTGGAGTTTGCCAAAAGGCACCTAAAGGACTCTCAGACCATGAGAAACAAGATTCTCTGGTCTGATGAAACCAAGATTGAACTCTTTGGCCAAGCATCACGTCTGGAGGAAACCTGGCACCATCCCTACGGTGAAGCATGGTGGTGGCAGCATCATGCTGTGAGGATGTTTATCAGCGGCAGGGACTGGGAGACTAGTCAGGATCGAGGCAAAGATGAACGGAGCAAAGTACAGAGAGATCCTTGATGAAAACCTGCTCCAGAGCGCTCAGGACCTCAAACTGGAGCGAAGGTTCACCTTCCAACAGGACAACGACCCTAAGCACACAGCCAAGACAACGCAGGAGTGGCTTCGGGACAAGTCTCTGAATGTCCTTGAGTGGCCCAGCCAGAGCCTGGACTTGAACCCGATCGAACATCTCTGGAGAGACCTGAAAATAGCTGTGCAGTGACGCTCCCCATCCAACCTGACAGAGCTTGAGAGGATCTACAGACAAGAATGGGAGAAACTCCCCAAATATCGATGCTGTAATCGCTGCCAAAGGTGCTTCAACAAAGTATTGAGTAAAGGGTCTGAATACTTATGTAAATGTAATATTTCAGTTTTTTATTTGTAATAAATTAGCAAACATTTCTAAAAACCTGTTTTTGCTTTGTCATTATGGGGTATTGTGTGTAGATTTATTATGGGAAAAAAAACAATTTAATCAGTATTCTAGTCATGGTTCATCCTATATAACTACTGCTGTCCACTTCATATGTATATACTGTATTCTAGTCATGGTTCATCCTATATAACTACTGCTGTCCTCTTCATATGTATATACTGTATTCTAGTCATGGTTCATCCTATATAACTACTGCTGTCCACTTCATATGTATATACTGTATTCCAGTCATGGTTCATCCTATATAACTACTGCTGTCCACTTCATATGTATATACTGTATTCTAGTCATGGTTCTTCCTATATAACTACTGCTGTCCACTTCATATGTATATACTGTATTCTAGTCATGGTTCATCCTATATAACTACTGCTGTCCACTTCATATGTATATACTGTATTCTAGTCATGGCTCATCCTATATAACTACTGATGTCCACTTCATATGTATATACTGTATTCTAGTCATGGTTCATCCTATATAACTACTGCTGTCCACTTCATATGTATATACTGTATTCCAGTCATGGTTCATCCTATATAACTACTGCTGTCCACTTCATATGTATATACTGTATTCCAGTCATGGTTCATCCTATATAACTAATAATAATAATAATAATAATAATAATAATAATAATAATAATAATATTTATTATTATTATTATTATATAACTACTGCTGTACACACCATTTTCTATTCATATACTGTCCATACTGTCTATACACACCATCATATACATACGAATATATTTAAATTCCGAACTCTGACATTGCTCGTTCTAATATTTCTAAATTTCTTATTTTGGGGATTTTGGGGATTTGCGTGTATTGTTTTGTATTGTTAGGTATTGCTGCACTGTTGGAGCTAAGAACATAAGCATTTCGCTACACCCGCGATAACATCTGCAAAATATGTGTACGCGACCAATAAAATGTGATTTGATTTTGACACAGCTGTCAATGGGACCCCCTGGTGGTTTCATTGGTTACATTTCAACCTTATAGAACGAGTCCCATTGATTTTTGCTTGAAACTAAAACATGATTGATATACAAAGACTATACGACATCATATTTGACCTTATATTGATATCGAGGTATCCATTTATTTATTTTTATTATTTCGTGAAAATTGATTTTGTATTTATTTCTATTTTTCCACATGAAGTTTTCGACGGATGTAGCTCAGTTGGTAGAGCATGGCGTTTGATTCCCACGGGGGGCCAGCATGAAAAAAATATATATAATTAATAATAATAAAAATGTATGCACTCACTAACTGTAAGTCGCTCTGGATAAGAGCGTCTCTGCTAAATGACTAAAATATAAATAAATAAAAAGTAAAATGTGTTGAGGCAAAGCTCACCAGCGGTGGCGTTTCGACCAATGAGAGAGCGGTGTGGCGTTTCGACCAATGAGAGAGCGGTGTGGCGTTTCGACCAATGAGAGAGCGTTGTGTCGTTTGAACGGGGAGCGGGAGCGGAAGTCTATCGTGAGCTGTCCCGGCTGTTGTTGAAAACGGAATAAAGACTGTTATATTTCATCCCGTAACTAAATCAACTAGCTAAAAAAATGCTTTAGATGATTAAAAAAAAAGTGTGATAACGGACACAGACGGAGTTAATGTTTTGAGTTCGGTGAGTATGTTGTTGTGCTGGCTAGCTAGCTCCTAGTCTCGCAATGGATTTCGTGACAGTCAGATTTTGGACGCTAACCTAGCTAGCTATCACGACAGTAAACGGTTGAAAATAAATATTGTACTGTGTGTCAACAACACAAAAAAAAGTCGATTATATCGACGTATCTAGGGAGAGACTATTTCCGGTATAGTTAAGCTGGCTAGCCATAGTAAAAGCAAATCACTGAATATTATAATAATAATAATAATAATATGCCATTTAGCAGACGCTTTTATCCAAAGCGATTTACAGTCATGTGTGCATACATTTTTTACGTATGGGTGGTCCCGGGGATCGAACCCACTACCCTGGCGTTACAAGCGCCATGCTCTACCAATTGAGCTAAAGAGGCACTTAGTTTTTTTCCATATGTTTTTCCCCTGTCGCTAGCTAAATTAATCGAGAAAAATTGAAGGATACCAGATAAGTTAAGTAACATTAGTCCTAATATGTGAACTGTCCCAGTGTGTCAACTGGGGCGTATTCATTACGCCAATTCTGTTGTAAAACGTTTCTTAAACGGAAGCATACGGAACGAAACAGGGAGGGACCTACCTGAATTTGTCCAATAGAAACCCTAGCTTCCGTTTTGGTTCTTTAAACGGTATAAGTAATGAATACGCCCCTGTCACCATTATTTGTCATTTGACAGTCGGTTCTGACCTTCTTGTTGGTGAAACTGACCCCGGTAAAAAGACTCAAGATGAACCGAGCAGGCCGACCGTTGTTCATGAAGACATACGGCAAACAGAACCGGAAGTTGGAGGCCTGGATCTCCCCTGACAACCGGAAACAGGTTTTCGCCAGCACCTCTTCCTCTGACCTCTCCGTCGCCGAGCACTCCAGCCCCAAACCCCCGGCCAAGAGGTAAGAATGACCCGTCCTGAAGAGCTAGTGATCTGGGTGTGCAGGCTTTTCCTCCATTACTGCTCACCAGGCCAGGGCCTAGATAGATTAGATAGCTGGATCAGGTGTGCTGGAGCAGTGACGGGTCTAGTTTCTCCTGGATTTACTTCTGAAACGACTAGTAGAGCCTAAATGTGTGCAGCGGTGATTGGGAATTCAAGCTCTCTGTGTGGTTTTCTGGTCACTTTGCTCTGACTGACCAGTAGTCGTCTTCTCTGCTCTGCTCTCTCTCTCTCTCTCTCTGTCTCACCATCTCAACTGTGACCTCGACCTCATTTCTGCTGCACTGATATGAAAACATCCTCTTCCTCTCCTCCCGGACCCCCCCTTCCCCTGTT